AAAAAAAAAAACCCAAAAAAAACTGGGAACTTCATTTTCTGGTAAACCTCAAAAACGGAACCTCATCATAGCATGCTTCACATGGCAGTTTGTAGGAGGGAAAAAAAACGACTATAGCTCGTTCACGTAAAAGAGGCTACATTTTTACCCTTCAGGCTTTAGCTTATATATGATACTTGTAAGATTAGAAATACGAATATACGACAGATAGAAGATGGGAAAAAAAGAAGTATGGCAATTCTCTGAAAAACTGCGACGTTATACTCCTTAGTAAACGAAAAAATTCTTATAATATCACGGAAATGTGCAGGTTTGCGACGAGTTGAAAAAGTTTCATTTCATGAATCAACAGTTCTAAGGATTGAATTGATGCTTTGAGTCAACGGGTGGGTTTGCAAGAAGATATGAGTTGAGATTACTTTGTGTGCATATATGTCTGTATGGTAGTATGTCGAGATTTATGGAAGGTGAATAACATCTGTCTAAAAAATGTTGTTTTGACACACGTTTAAGCGAGGCGTTTCTTTCCAAAAAAGTAAATCCTTGTATAAATCTTGAAATACACTGTAGTTTTGACACATCAATATCGACTGATTCTTCGGTATTTTTTTCTGTAAATGGGTGAAGTAGAGTTGAGTTGTGAATATTTTTTTTCATGAAATCAAAGCATATACATGATCAGTATAAAATAATACATAGAAAAAGATTTTACCCATAACTCAACCACGTTAAAAATCGAAATAAAAAATAAAATATCAAAAGGAGCTGCACTCAACTATATTGATATAAGGTGAATTCCGCCTCTATGTCGGAATTAAAATATTAAAAACAGAGCACAAGAAATTATAATTAAGACTGATAGGGTCAAATAAATAAATAAGAATATACTGAAAAGACAACTACCAGAATATGGTAAAATTTACCGTGTTTCCAGCTCTATGGGAACACCAAAAGTTCAGTAATTTTTACACAAGTGCTTTGGTAAAGATTTTGGTTAAATTAACAGTAAAATAGTGTTTTATGATGTGTGATAAATTTGGTAAATCTGGTAAAAGTTTGGTAATTTTACTTTTCAGTTATAATTTTTTTTCAAAAAATTGTTTTAATAAGAACTAAAATTTCGAAAACTATAATTTCTAGTAAATCGTTACCATATGAACGGTAACATTATTAAATAAGGGGTTTAAGTTAAGTATAATTTAGTTTTATCAACCAGGAAGTCTTCTTTTTTATTACTGTAAATGTCATTACCAATCAATAAGGTAATTTTAAAAGAATTTTTTCTCCGTGCGTGAAATACAGTAAAAAATATTATCTTTTTTCAAGAGAAAAGAGTTCGAGAAATTAATTCTCACCGACGTTTTTCTATTTATCTATCTATCAGGTGAAGTTAGAAACGAACCGCAAGAAGGTATATATATGTATATAACCAAAGAATAATTATAAAATAAAATAAAATAAAATAGAGGAGTTTTTTAATAGGAAAACGTAAAGGTTCTCTTCTGGGCGCATTCCTTTACGATGGTAAATGCGATATTTCAAAATTAAGTATAATTATCCTAACATAAAAATTACTAAGTTAATTTTGCCTACTTTTTAAAAGGCACAATGCTGCATAAAAATAACGAAGCTTCGTTTCCCATTAGTATTTAAAATATTTAGAAAAATAGTGATGAATAAAAACCCTAGAAATTAAATTTATTAATCATGAATTAAGAAAATATTTATTCGCTGTGCGAAACAAGTTGGCATCTCTGAATGAATAAGTTATGATAATAAAGTTTTGTGTAAAAAAATATATTTTTAATATAATCTTATAATGATACAAATAATAAAAAATATTTTTACTATGTTTTTATAAACAAAGTAACATCTATTTTTAATGATCTCTGTAGATGCAACCTAACCTATGTAATTACATTCAGAAAAAAAAGGCAAGAAATAATTATATATAGGTATTTTTTATTACCTTGATTTTTTTTAAAGAAAATATAACATTAAACTATAATTTAAAAGCAGCCCGAATCTTAAAACTTCTTTCACCATTAGGTATAGGAAGCAAGGTACTAAATATGCTAGACCTCTCACCTTTTAACAAGCGAAAATAATTAGAAAACAAACATAAAGTTAGCGAAAAGGAAAAGCGGCCGACATTCATGGGTACTGCATTGCAATATTTAAGAATTCTGGTGTCACGCATAGCCTACTCCCACAAGTCCACTAATTGGTATTCCTTTCACAAATCCTAAAGATGTCAAGACTTTCAAAATAACTGTCTTAGAAACGACATTTTACCGTTGACGTATGCTTTCTTCTTCCACTCAAAATGCCGCTTTCTTAAAATTTTATTCGAGTGAAAGTAGATTTGGATCAGATTTTTAATGCTTGATATATTATTTGAATAATAAAATACAGAATTATATCTAGGTCAGTTTGATTTGGAAATATTGTGCACAATTTTAGTAATGATAAAAGTATAAGATATAAATTATAAAAATTTTATTCTTAATTTTTTTTCCATTCAGTTTGAAATTTGAATTTTTTTTATTTAAGATTTTTAGTAATAAAATAAATTATGAGGTATAAGTTATATAAATATAATTTTTATTTTAATCCATATTCAATTTGACTTTTGAAATTGAATTTTTTTAGTACATGGTCTTTAGCAACAATAACACTTTAAAGCACAGGTTATATAAATTATTCTTTTAATTTATTTCCCAGTAAGTAAGAGTTTTGAAACCTATATTTTTACACAAGACATTATTAATTATAAGCTAACGATGAATTAAATTCAAATTATAATTCTAACATTTTAATACCTTTCTTAGATTTTCTCAATTAATATGATTTTTGAAAAGTTAAAAAGTTATTTTCAAGAGTTTCAAAGTTAAAATTTATATTCTATATATAATTAAAATGTATATATACTTCATTGTGAAGGTTGTAATGATAAAATGTTTTCATTTAGGATTGCTTAGTTAGTAATTGCTATTTGTTTTAGTTTAAATAAAATAAATGAATATCATTTTTTTTGTTCGTTAAGATTTTAGTAATTTGAAATAAGTAATATTATCATTTATTTGAAATAAGCAATATTATAAAGATAAGTATGCGAAAGTTATTTCTTCACTTTGACGAAATATTCACTCGGAGCATATACCAGTAAACGGCTTCGTTAAAAACGAATTACAGTAGGGAACCGATTATCCGGAACGATCGGGACCATCACTATTCCGGTTAACTGATTTTTCCGGTTTTCTGAATCGCTACAAAATGCCGTTTTTTTATTGTTTAAACTCAAATAAAAAAATTTTTTTTTGTAAATAATCTTAAAAATAATAAAAAACGATGAAGTATTGCACTAATGATTATTTCCAAAATGATGGTAAGGTAAAAATCTTTCAAAAAAGAAAGAAAAATCCTAAAAACTCATGAGGAAAAAAATTTTTTTTTTTTTAAATGGCAGGTAAACTTATCGAATTTTGTTCCGGGTTTTTGGTTTTCCGGTTTTTTGGCTTTCCGGTTTTCTGATTTCCGGATACCGGGTTCTGTACTGTATACATATTGTATTTTTAATTAAAATATTAAAATAATTTTGTTACACTGACTCCCTTAAAATGAATTAATGGAAAGCAAGGACATCAACCAACTCCATAATATAGATTACCTATAAAGTGGATAATTTTAATTTCATTTCGGTACAATAATAATGAGGAACAGAATTTTAAAATCACTCATCAATACCAAAAAAAAAAGGTTTTAAAATTTTTTTTTTGAATAATTTTTTACAATGCTTAGCGTAGCCGTTATTATCAATGCAACGATGCACAATCTGTGACCTGTATAAGGCTTAGCATAAACGTTTATTAGTTAATATATACATTGTTTTAAAAAAGAACTTAAAAGCATGCATTCAGTTTAATAATTAGAAATAACCTTATACTAAGGGTAGTATTAAGTTATTAATAAAGCCCTGGATGCTTAGATCATGCCGTATCATGCCACCATCTTTGTAACTGCAACTTTCAATTTAGAAATGATGAGCTTCTATTCTTAAACGCGGTTTTTTATTGATTAATATTATCATATTCTTTACGATAACTTAAATATTAACTATTTTTTCGATTAATTCTTTTTCTTTCATTTTAAAATTATGTATTTTGTTTTTATTTCATTCAAGAAAAAAAAATTCCCTTATCTATAAGTTAAAGCTTTCTCATTTTGTCTTTCATGCTATAATTTTTTTCTTTTTCTGAACTCTTTGAAATTTTTTGCAGTTAATTTTTTATGAGGTTTAAAAGGTTAAATATAGTTAGATAAAACTAAAATAATATCAGTTTTTTAGATACTTTAAAGTTAAGGCAAGTGATAAAATAGTCAATAATTAGTTAATGGAAGCTTTATTCAATTTATTAACAAAATAGATGAGTTCTGATTTGTTCAAGCATTAATAATTATTTCTTTGAGAATTCTTATTAAAATTCTGAATATTAAATATAAAAATTTATTTTGAACTGGCGCAAAATTGTACTATAATGTATGAAATATTTAAAATTATAAAAACTGAGGAAAGAGTTTTAATAGGAATTAGATCATCTTATAAAATCATAGACATTTTAAACTTATTTATTTGAGAGTTATTTATAATGTTACGCTAGTTTACTTTTATTTCTGGCAACAAAACACTCAAATATTTAAATGCTATTAAAATTTATTTTTAAATTTGTAACAAATAAATAAGTAAATTAAATTCAAACTTGTATTTTACAATCTGCCGTTGTCGCTTGGATTCCATTTGTATTTGCTGATTCTATGCAGCCATATTTTCTGTCTTTTTTTATTCCGATCTCCAGGTAAACGATATAATTTGAAGCCTAAATTTGTTTTATTTGAACATCCAAATGTCCAACAACCAGTCATTATAAATGCAAAAATATGAAACAATAAAAGGTAAAAGAGAAGCAAAAATAAAAATAACAGATTGGTCGCAATCTTACTTCGTCGTTCAAGTCAGTCAACAAAATGTCGGTAATTTACCCATGTGTTCAGCAGCAACGAATCAGATTCGAAAGCGGCACAAAGGTCGTAAGCAAAAAGAGTGAAACTACTTTTGTCTTGGACTTTCCTAATCATTGTCTTCTAAAATAAAATTTTCAGCATTGATATCTGTAACATGAATATAATTTTCCTCAAAAATGAAATTTTAAAACCCATAGGCAACAGGGTGGATTATAATTTTCTTACTATACATGACTAACAAAAATATATTAAATAGATTAGTCATATAAGTTCTGTTTTTTGTACAGTCTTCATGATTTTTTTTTTTTTTTTAGTGATAACTTTAGAAAAATCACTTTTTGTAAAGCTAATCAAATTTCATCCAAAAACTGCACTATATATTTTAAGGTATTGCTTGCAAATTTAAATTTTGATATTAGTTTTTATTTAACTGAGATATGAAGAAAATAAGTTCATGTCCAGAAACTATAAAATGAATTTTAGTTCCTTCAAGAAAATCTCAGAAAAGCAAGAAAAACAAGTGCAAGTTCAAGAAAGTGCTATAAAATTTTTCGTAAAAAAAAAAGAAGAAACTGTTATTATTTCCTACTGTTTTACTTTATTCTAACTTGTTTCCAAACCCTTTGTATTTTGTAGAACTGTGTATAATTCATAATACATATATTATATCATGTAAAAGTTAGAAAGCGGTATTTACACGGAGAAAAAATTCTTTTAAAATTTCCATATTCTATAGTGATGACTTTCTAAGCAAGAAAAAAAATCATATTTCTGGTTAAAAAAATCCAAAATAGATGCTATTTAAACCTTTCATTTGACAATATTATGTTCATTTTATAACAGTTTACCGGAAATTCTGGGTTCTAAAATTATAGTTCTAATTATTGTACATTTAGTAAAAAATGCAAAACTGAAAAGTAAGTTTAACCAAATAAATAGTTTCTATGCCATACGCAAAGGTATTATGATGAAAATACCAAATTTTACTTTATTTACCGAATTTTATTGGAGCATTGCAAAACCGTATTTTTTCATGAATTTTACCAAAGTCTTAACCAAGGCGCTTCGGGGAAAATCACCGAGCTTTTTGGTATAAAGAACCAGAAACAAAGTAAATTTTACCATATTTTCGAAGTTTTGACCAAGCAGTTTTTAATCAGTGTACTATATGAACAAGCATTATTTGCGTGTGAATAAAAATTTGTAAGTAAAATAAATAAATATATTAACTTTTACAATTCATAAAATATCAGCTTATGCATAGATTTTCTAATTATTTCTGTAATTAATGGCTTCATTCCAAATCTTAAGTATTCATACCGACAGAAATAAAAAAAAGAATTTTCTCTCTCTAAATGATCCAGGCTGCTACATTGTTGTGGGAATAATTAGAACTAAATTACAAATTAATGACTTATGCTTAACATTGTAAATCTGCAATTTTTTTCCCTCTAACCATGCCGGATTATGATTCTCCTACTTTGCATTTTTTGACTTTTAGCGTCACGCATGTTGTGCGTGTTTGCCAATTATAGTTAAAACAGTCCCATACCTTCAGCATTTCGGACATCCAGTAATTTTATTAAAGTGATTGCTGGCAAGAATTCATTGCTAAATCGAGAATAAAAAAAAAACTATCCCGCGGGTACGAGACTGACTAGAATACTTTTGCGTGCCTTTTCAAAAAAATCCCCATGAGATTAAATTCACGTAAGAGTCTACCAGAAATTAGTTTCGACTCTTGCTGTATGGATTCGTGCTTGAAACACAAACCGCATCACACAGCTTGGAGCTTCTGGTTGTTGAAAATAGCAACCCTATTTTGGCTAGCGAAGGAAGAACAGAGCTAAAAGCGAGCCATCTAATGCTGGTCAGAATATTAATTTTATGTTGAGAGTGCGTGAAAGCATATAAGCGAAGTGGTCGTTCTAAATAAAACGGGGCGTGTGTGGACTTATGCCTCGTTAAAGTGCCGCCTTATTTTAAGGTTAATGCAAATTGGTGTGGGTACACGCGTCATCTAGGCTCTGGGAGAGGGTCTAAAATAACCGAAAGAGAAATTAAAATGCCAAAGTTACTAATGAGCTCATATTTCATAGCTTTTCAACCTCAAAATTTTCATGCTTGCAACAATTGCATAGTATCTTAAAAGGTGATACTATATTTACTTGCATTGCAATATTTACTCGGAGCAAATTATTATGGAAATAATTTCTCCAGTATTTCAGGATTAAGACTTAATATATAAGATAATACAACGAGAAAATGCGCATAAAATGAATTACGATAAATATTTACGAATTTCACTGAAACAATTTAAATACACGAATGAATATCTAGTTCAAATATAGGTCAAATATTTCTTATTAAATATTTAAAAATATATTATTAAATATTTAAAAATATATTATTAAATATTTAAAAATATATTACTAAATATTTAAAAATATATTATTAAATATTTAAAAATATATTACTAAATATTTCAAAATACATTATTAAATATTTAAAAATACATAGAAAGAGATTATTTTATAAGAATTCTTATATTTTTCGGATGGAAAAAATTGTGTTTAAATAACGAAATGCAACAATCAAGTAATATTTCATAACATATAAAATTTAATAATGAGATAGTATATTATATAAATATAATATAATATATTATCATTATATTTTGGGTCGGAGTTGAACGGCTGAACCAATTCTGAATTTACGGCTATCTAAGTTCAATTTCATAACCTTGTAATTTTAAATCCAACCCTGAAGACAAAGAAACTCTCAGATCAAGCGTCGGGACAAACAAGCTTTCACAGAATTTTTTTATGATGCTAAACCTCCCGCATTTACGTTACTTTGAGAGGAAAACATCGAAAATTTCCCACGTTTAACACGATGGAAAGGGGATTTTAACCAATGGTTCGTCAACCACTGAGGATATTTTACGCCAGCACTTTTTTTTTATTCGAGTTAATTCATGCTAATTTTGAGATCATTATATTGGGATATGAAAATTAGAATTTTCGATTCCTTCTTCTTTTTGTCTTTTATCTAAGTTCTATGGCCGCAACGCATTTGTGTTGAGTATGGAGAGGATATAATTGCTGAAAGAACTGATCTAAATTATAAAACCAAGTTAAAAATGCTATTTAGACCTTAAATACGAACCTAGTTCTAGCCGTCTTATTGAGATCGTTGAAGGATTAAGTCAAATTTTGTGCAAAATTTCGAGTCAAAAGGAACAGGTAAAACAATATCCTTCCACACTGTTAACTTTTAAAAATGTTATGGTGGGAACTATTTGCCAATTGAACTGAGAGATGAAGTATGATCAAAACTACCAAAATTTGGTAAAATTTATTGTATTTCTGGTTCTATGGGAGCAGAAATTCACTTTGAAATTTTTATCGAAGAGCTTGTAAATGATTTTGTTAAATTGGCAATAAAATATATTTTTATATCATGTGTTAAATTTTAGTAAATGAGGTAAAATTTGTAAATTTGTCAATTTTCAACAGGGCTTGAAATTTTTTTTTCAGTTCAATTTACTTTTCAGTTTTGTATTTTTAAAGAATGTGTGGAAATAAGAACTACAATTTAGAAACCTGAATTTCAAGTAAACCATTGTCGTTGGAATGTAAAAAATATCAAATGCATGGTTTATTTATTTGGTTTTATTAGACAAAAAAAAATTTTTTTTTTTTTCGCAAGAAATGTTATTACCATTCAGTACATCAATATTAGACGCCATTTTTTTCCCGTGTACTCATTTAGACAAAAATATTTATTACATTGAATATCTTATTGAGTATTAAAAGCCTATAAGTCCTAAGCCTTAGGAATAGGTGCTGAAAGAAGTCATGGATGCATTACAGATAATTAAGAATGGAAAGCGTACGTAAAAGGAAGGCATTATTTAAGGAGCTCTTCTGGGATAATTACTAGATATTTCGGTTAATTAAGTCATTTCGTCTTTACTGATAAAAAGTATGCTTTCTCTGTAACGTAAATTTTTTCTCCAAGACTTTCTTCTCTTGTCTGATTTCAAATATGTTATTTTTATCAACGTTAATTAATTCCGTTACATAAGCTGTTTCTCACTCTATATACATACACGTAAAGTATAATTCTGATAAAATTACCCTATCGTATGATAGTAACGTTTCTGATGAAACAAAATAATTGTGGTTCATAAGTCCAATGTATACAATATTTAAGTTATTCATTTGATATATTTTCGGTTTGTATTGTAATGGTTTACTGGACATTCTGGTTTGCAAATTTATAGTTCTTACTACCACACATTTAGTGAAAAATACATAACTGAAAAGTGGTTTTTAGCGAATAAATCATTTTTATTCCAGGGTTTAAGGAATCATGATAAAATTTCCAGAATTTTACCAAATTTTATCACATATCATTAAAAAAACATGTTTTATTGTTAATTTTATCAAAACCATTGTCGAAAGTGCTTTGGTTAAAATTACCCTGTTTTTTGCTCTTCCAATAGAGACAGAAACACGGCAAATTTTATCATATCCTGGAAGTTTTGACCGCACATTTTTTTTTCTTAGTGCAGTGTGTAAAAGGCCGATCATTAGGCTTAAATACATTCAGTGTGTAATATTTTTTTCCCTTCTTTTAGCGAAGTAATAATTAGCTTAAAATGTATAGATTCTCTATTATGCACCTGGGTATCATATAGAAAAATTTAGATTCTTCTACAGCAAGCTGTTTATATATAGGAAATATTTCAAAATATTCTGTCCATTACCCGATTAGCAATTACCTCAAGGGAGAGATAAATTTGTATTCCTTATTATAAAGCAGATCTATATTATCTATTTTTCCTCCATTTTCCTTCGGAGAACAAAAAACTTTGAAACATTCTTAAATCTTCATTATCGAGAAAAATTTGAGTTGCGTTAAGTAATTGAAAATATCATACACATCTTATATTATTTCACAGCGTATCTAGTAACTCAGCTCTTCAATAACAAAAATATTTCGAGAGAATATTTCATATTTTTTTTTCATCTAAACCTAGGTACAAGGCTTTTGTCCCATT